TGGTTGTGCAGCGCGGGCAGGGCTGCCAGCGCGCCGGGCCGCAGGCGCGAGGCGTCCAGCGGGTGCGTACCTCGAGCGCCGTGTACTGGTTGTGCAGCGCGGGCAGGGCTGCCAGCGCGCCGGGCCGCAGGCGCGAGGCGTCCAGCGGGTGCGTACCTCGAGCGCCGTGTACTGGTTGTGCAGCGCGGGCAGGGCTGCCAGCGCGCCGGGCCGCAGGCGCGAGGCGTCCAGCGGGTGCGTACCTCGAGCGCCGTGTACTGGTTGTGCAGCGCGGGCAGGGCTGCCAGCGCGCCGGGCCGCAGGCGCGAGGCGCGAGGCGTCCAGCGGGTGCGTACCTCGAGCGCCGTGTACTGGTTGTGCAGCGCGGGCAGGGCTGCCAGCGCGCCGGGCCGCAGGCGCGAGGCGTCCAGCGGGTGCGTACCTCGAGCGCCGTGTACTGGTTGTGCAGCGCGGGCAGGGCTGCCAGCGCGCCGGGCCGCAGGCGCGAGGCGTCCAGCGGGTGCGTACCTCGAGCGCCGTGTACTGGTTGTGCAGCGCGGGCAGGGCTGCCAGCGCGCCGGGCCGCAGGCGCGAGGCGTCCAGCGGGTGCGTACCTCGAGCGCCGTGTACTGGTTGTGCAGCGCGGGCAGGGCTGCCAGCGCGCCGGGCCGCAGGCGCGAGGCGTCCAGCGGGTGCGTACCTCGAGCGCCGTGTACTGGTTGTGCAGCGCGGGCAGGGCTGCCAGCGCGCCGGGCCGCAGGCGCGAGGCGTCCAGCGGGTGCGTACCTCGAGCGCCGTGTACTGGTTGTGCAGCGCGGGCAGGGCTGCCAGCGCGCCGGGCCGCAGGCGCGAGGCGTCCAGCGGGTGCGTACCTCGAGCGCCGTGTACTGGTTGTGCAGCGCGGGCAGGGCTGCCAGCGCGCCGGGCCGCAGGCGCGAGGCGTCCAGCGGGTGCGTACCTCGAGCGCCGTGTACTGGTTGTGCAGCGCGGGCAGGGCTGCCAGCGCGCCGGGCCGCAGGCGCGAGGCGTCCAGCGGGTGCGTACCTCGAGCGCCGTGTACTGGTTGTGCAGCGCGGGCAGGGCTGCCAGCGCGCCGGGCCGCAGGCGCGAGGCGTCCAGCGGGTGCGTACCTCGAGCGCCGTGTACTGGTTGTGCAGCGCGGGCAGGGCTGCCAGCGCGCCGGGCCGCAGGCGCGAGGCGTCCAGCGGGTGCGTACCTCGAGCGCCGTGTACTGGTTGTGCAGCGCGGGCAGGGCTGCCAGCGCGCCGGGCCGCAGGCGCGAGGCGTCCAGCGGGTGCGTACCTCGAGCGCCGTGTACTGGTTGTGCAGCGCGGGCAGGGCTGCCAGCGCGCCGGGCCGCAGGCGCGAGGCGTCCAGCGGGTGCGTACCTCGAGCGCCGTGTACTGGTTGTGCAGCGCGGGCAGGGCTGCCAGCGCGCCGGGCCGCAGGCGCGAGGCGTCCAGCGGGTGCGTACCTCGAGCGCCGTGTACTGGTTGTGCAGCGCGGGCAGGGCTGCCAGCGCGCCGGGCCGCAGGCGCGAGGCGTCCAGCGGGTGCGTACCTCGAGCGCCGTGTACTGGTTGTGCAGCGCGGGCAGGGCTGCCAGCGCGCCGGGCCGCAGGCGCGAGGCGTCCAGCGGGTGCGTACCTCGAGCGCCGTGTACTGGTTGTGCAGCGCGGGCAGGGCTGCCAGCGCGCCGGGCCGCAGGCGCGAGGCGTCCAGCGGGTGCGTACCTCGAGCGCCGTGTACTGGTTGTGCAGCGCGGGCAGGGCTGCCAGCGCGCCGGGCCGCAGGCGCGAGGCGTCCAGCGGGTGCGTACCTCGAGCGCCGTGTACTGGTTGTGCAGCGCGGGCAGGGCTGCCAGCGCGCCGGGCCGCAGGCGCGAGGCGTCCAGCGGGTGCGTACCTCGAGCGCCGTGTACTGGTTGTGCAGCGCGGGCAGGGCTGCCAGCGCGCCGGGCCGCAGGCGCGAGGCGTCCAGCGGGTGCGTACCTCGAGCGCCGTGTACTGGTTGTGCAGCGCGGGCAGGGCTGCCAGCGCGCCGGGCCGCAGGCGCGAGGCGTCCAGCGGGTGCGTACCTCGAGCGCCGTGTACTGGTTGTGCAGCGCGGGCAGGGCTGCCAGCGCGCCGGGCCGCAGGCGCGAGGCGTCCAGCGGGTGCGTACCTCGAGCGCCGTGTACTGGTTGTGCAGCGCGGGCAGGGCTGCCAGCGCGCCGGGCCGCAGGCGCGAGGCGCGAGGCGTCCAGCGGGTGCGTACCTCGAGCGCCGTGTACTGGTTGTGCAGCGCGGGCAGGGCTGCCAGCGCGCCGGGCCGCAGGCGCGAGGCGTCCAGCGGGTGCGTACCTCGAGCGCCGTGTACTGGTTGTGCAGCGCGGGCAGGGCTGCCAGCGCGCCGGGCCGCAGGCGCGAGGCGTCCAGCGGGTGCGTACCTCGAGCGCCGTGTACTGGTTGTGCAGCGCGGGCAGGGCTGCCAGCGCGCCGGGCCGCAGGCGCGAGGCGTCCAGCGGGTGCGTACCTCGAGCGCCGTGTACTGGTTGTGCAGCGCGGGCAGGGCTGCCAGCGCGCCGGGCCGCAGGCGCGAGGCGCGAGGCGTCCAGCGGGTGCGTACCTCGAGCGCCGTGTACTGGTTGTGCAGCGCGGGCAGGGCTGCCAGCGCGCCGGGCCGCAGGCGCGAGGCGTCCAGCGGGTGCGTACCTCGAGCGCCGTGTACTGGTTGTGCAGCGCGGGCAGGGCTGCCAGCGCGCCGGGCCGCAGGCGCGAGGCGTCCAGCGGGTGCGTACCTCGAGCGCCGTGTACTGGTTGTGCAGCGCGGGCAGGGCTGCCAGCGCGCCGGGCCGCAGGCGCGAGGCGTCCAGCGGGTGCGTACCTCGAGCGCCGTGTACTGGTTGTGCAGCGCGGGCAGGGCTGCCAGCGCGCCGGGCCGCAGGCGCGAGGCGTCCAGCGGGTGCGTACCTCGAGCGCCGTGTACTGGTTGTGCAGCGCGGGCAGGGCTGCCAGCGCGCCGGGCCGCAGGCGCGAGGCGTCCAGCGGGTGCGTACCTCGAGCGCCGTGTACTGGTTGTGCAGCGCGGGCAGGGCTGCCAGCGCGCCGGGCCGCAGGCGCGAGGCGTCCAGCGGGTGCGTACCTCGAGCGCCGTGTACTGGTTGTGCAGCGCGGGCAGGGCTGCCAGCGCGCCGGGCCGCAGGCGCGAGGCGCGAGGCGTCCAGCGGGTGCGTACCTCGAGCGCCGTGTACTGGTTGTGCAGCGCGGGCAGGGCTGCCAGCGCGCCGGGCCGCAGGCGCGAGGCGTCCAGCGGGTGCGTACCTCGAGCGCCGTGTACTGGTTGTGCAGCGCGGGCAGGGCTGCCAGCGCGCCGGGCCGCAGGCGCGAGGCGTCCAGCGGGTGCGTACCTCGAGCGCCGTGTACTGGTTGTGCAGCGCGGGCAGGGCTGCCAGCGCGCCGGGCCGCAGGCGCGAGGCGTCCAGCGGGTGCGTACCTCGAGCGCCGTGTACTGGTTGTGCAGCGCGGGCAGGGCTGCCAGCGCGCCGGGCCGCAGGCGCGAGGCGTCCAGCGGGTGCGTACCTCGAGCGCCGTGTACTGGTTGTGCAGCGCGGGCAGGGCTGCCAGCGCGCCGGGCCGCAGGCGCGAGGCGTCCAGCGGGTGCGTACCTCGAGCGCCGTGTACTGGTTGTGCAGCGCGGGCAGGGCTGCCAGCGCGCCGGGCCGCAGGCGCGAGGCGTCCAGCGGGTGCGTACCTCGAGCGCCGTGTACTGGTTGTGCAGCGCGGGCAGGGCTGCCAGCGCGCCGGGCCGCAGGCGCGAGGCGTCCAGCGGGTGCGTACCTCGAGCGCCGTGTACTGGTTGTGCAGCGCGGGCAGGGCTGCCAGCGCGCCGGGCCGCAGGCGCGAGGCGTCCAGCGGGTGCGTACCTCGAGCGCCGTGTACTGGTTGTGCAGCGCGGGCAGGGCTGCCAGCGCGCCGGGCCGCAGGCGCGAGGCGTCCAGCGGGTGCGTACCTCGAGCGCCGTGTACTGGTTGTGCAGCGCGGGCAGGGCTGCCAGCGCGCCGGGCCGCAGGCGCGAGGCGTCCAGCGGGTGCGTACCTCGAGCGCCGTGTACTGGTTGTGCAGCGCGGGCAGGGCTGCCAGCGCGCCGGGCCGCAGGCGCGAGGCGTCCAGCGGGTGCGTACCTCGAGCGCCGTGTACTGGTTGTGCAGCGCGGGCAGGGCTGCCAGCGCGCCGGGCCGCAGGCGCGAGGCGTCCAGCGGGTGCGTACCTCGAGCGCCGTGTACTGGTTGTGCAGCGCGGGCAGGGCTGCCAGCGCGCCGGGCCGCAGGCGCGAGGCGTCCAGCGGGTGCGTACCTCGAGCGCCGTGTACTGGTTGTGCAGCGCGGGCAGGGCTGCCAGCGCGCCGGGCCGCAGGCGCGAGGCGTCCAGCGGGTGCGTACCTCGAGCGCCGTGTACTGGTTGTGCAGCGCGGGCAGGGCTGCCAGCGCGCCGGGCCGCAGGCGCGAGGCGTCCAGCGGGTGCGTACCTCGAGCGCCGTGTACTGGTTGTGCAGCGCGGGCAGGGCTGCCAGCGCGCCGGGCCGCAGGCGCGAGGCGTCCAGCGGGTGCGTACCTCGAGCGCCGTGTACTGGTTGTGCAGCGCGGGCAGGGCTGCCAGCGCGCCGGGCCGCAGGCGCGAGGCGTCCAGCGGGTGCGTACCTCGAGCGCCGTGTACTGGTTGTGCAGCGCGGGCAGGGCTGCCAGCGCGCCGGGCCGCAGGCGCGAGGCGTCCAGCGGGTGCGTACCTCGAGCGCCGTGTACTGGTTGTGCAGCGCGGGCAGGGCTGCCAGCGCGCCGGGCCGCAGGCGCGAGGCGTCCAGCGGGTGCGTACCTCGAGCGCCGTGTACTGGTTGTGCAGCGCGGGCAGGGCTGCCAGCGCGCCGGGCCGCAGGCGCGAGGCGTCCAGCGGGTGCGTACCTCGAGCGCCGTGTACTGGTTGTGCAGCGCGGGCAGGGCTGCCAGCGCGCCGGGCCGCAGGCGCGAGGCGTCCAGCGGGTGCGTACCTCGAGCGCCGTGTACTGGTTGTGCAGCGCGGGCAGGGCTGCCAGCGCGCCGGGCCGCAGGCGCGAGGCGTCTAGCAGGCGCGCGGGCCGGCGCTGCGGGCTGTCGCGCGCCGCGCTGCGCCCGCAGGCGCCGACGCTCTTCAGCAGCCGCGCGCTGGAGCATGACCGAACGGTACATTAACTACGGTAACATGACCCGCCCCTACAAAATTCAAAACGTCTGAAAGTATCTACAAAGCGTCACCAACACCCATATCGCCATGTATGCGTGCAGAGACGACCGTCAAAGAAAAATAAATTCAAAGATTTGTTGCTCGACTAGCAGCGTCTTTAATATTACTATGACGTACTCTATAAAAATGACACGTGCATTTTCTTACGCAATCGACTAAGTTATGATTAGGGGCGAGTATACTGCTTTATCATAAATAATGTCCGGCGACCAGTCTTATAAGTTTAAAAGTACGCATAGGGTACCAGCACCCCAGGTGACGGAGAATCCCTAGCGGAACATCCACGCCCAAGCTATCCTACTGGCGGAGCGTGGGTGCTCAGGCTACCCCGCGTATTCTGGGGAGGTAGGGAGCAAAATTCTGCTAGATCTGCAAGACTAAACCTGCTCCATAAATTTCTGCAACATCAGGGGACTTCATTCAAACCTTAACGCCGTCCACTACCATCTGGAAACGGCGAAGCCGGCCTTGCTCTTTCTGACCAAGACACAGATGTCTTCTCCGACTGATACTTCGTATCTCTCCTACCCGGGGTACAAATTAGAGCACTCCTTTGTGCCCCGGGCTGGAGTTTGCGTGTACGTCAGAAAGGACATCTGTTTTTGACGTCACGGCAGCCTTGAAGGTACGGACCTGTCCATCTTAGGGCTACGCGCAGTTGACATAGAACCGGAGACCCTTTTTACTGGATAAGAGGTATTCCATCTTAGTCCTCACGAGTGACAACGCATCTGAATTTTGATTCGCAATCGAGGATAGATGTAGATGTCTATGGGCCACAGCAACCACTTACCATCAGGTGGACTGTGTGATCGTTTGTCACACGATCCTATAAATAAAAATGTTAACGCCCACCACGCTGAATGGCTTGGTTCTCTTTTAACCGATCATGCGGGTAGATCTGTTTATGACTTTGCTTTGGCTTATGGTCTGACCCAACTGATTACCTCGCTTTTTTCTTTAATAGCTTCTTTTAATTGATCTAGTAAAGAATCGTAGTATTCTCCCGTTATGGAAACACCACCTTCCTTATAATCAATCAAAAGGATACCTTCTATCTATTCTATCCCAAAAGATCGTCGCCATGATCTTTCCGGTCGATTGAGACACTTTATACTTTTTAGGAGGCGTGTGCCTTACACCACTGCATCGACTCTCGCTTTGACACAGTCAGGTCATAACTTCCTTCCTTTGCTCTCCATAGCGGTCCAAAAAGTCGCGACAACTTTCGACACGCTCGTCATGCATCATGCGTAGAAAACATTCTCGGAACCCATCTTGCACAGACTTTAGTCATGCCAAGGTGTTGATGGAGCATGTTTGAAATGGTTGTTTGTCATACTCCAACTAAAGCTGCAAGATGGTTTTTCTTTAGCCGAGCATCTTCCTTGTTTGAAAAGGGGTGTTATTTATAAATCATGATTTTCCCAGGAGCGGAGTCCCCATAAACAGCTGACATCTCTTGAAAAATGGTTTAAGTTGTCTCCTTGTTAAGTGAGAAACTTAATGACGGTGCGATATTCAATTTTCTCCATAGTGTCTAGTTTTCACCAGATTGACTAGTTTACTCGCTGATTACTCAGAAGCTAATGACACGATTAAGCTGAAACTTGGTATTGTTACGAGCTTGGGGTTCGAGACAATTAAAAACTGCCGATTGAATTACCAAAATTGACCCTTTAATTACAAAACACTAATTACAATTTAAGACCACACTAATAATAAAACACAATTGTACTTCTGATCACTTTAGTTCGCAGTTATTTCACTTTTTTTTATATAGGAGAGGGGGCAAACGAGCATGCGGCTCACCTGATGGTAAGTGACTACCGCCGCCCATGAACAACCGCAACACCAGGGGAATTGCAGATGCGTTGCCGGCCTTTTAAAAAGGAGTAGGCTCTTTTCTTGAAGGTCCCTAAGTCGTATCGGTCCGGAAAAATCGCTGGTGTTAAACTACTTCGAAGTATTCTCTGGTATCGCCAATTCAATACTGACTCGCAACACTGCCTCCTACTAAGACATGCTCGTCCCGAGCATTATTGGCCCCATAATAACGCGTCAGTCAATCCACACGGACAATCTTAGGAGGACCTCTTCTAACATCAGTCAGCACCCGCCAGTTTCCCTGCTGCTGCTGGGCGGTGTTAGGGTTAGCCACACTACCCTCTCGACATCGATCACCTTCCCTTTCTACAGTTCGCTTAGGGCAGCTGGATCGAAGATGGCCCTATTACCTATTACTAAGAGGGATTTATTGCGGTCGCGAACTGTAGCCGCTGCAACCTTCCTGACGCGATAGGAACGATGATCCTGTCGCATGGCTTCCATCTCCAGTGCATGGGCCAACGCGTTCTTAAGCGTCTCGAGGTGCCCGTACCTCACAGCAGCTCTGACTTCAAGGTCGCGGATGCCGTCGATGAATGCCTGCACTAAGTTCCCAACCATGAGCGCAGGTACAGACTGGTATGCTTTTCGAACCAGCTTCTCTACCTCAAGGGCCCACTGCTGCAGGTTTTCGTTGCTGCGTTGCATGCGATCTTTGAGCTGCGCACGAAGGACGTGTTCCAGGTAAGCGTCGCCATATCTCGCCTCCAATGCCTCAAGGAGCTGCTCGTAAGTCACTTCCTTACCGAGAGCTTCCAGAACAGTTAAGGCCTGGTCACGCAGGCCTAGGGTAAGAGCAGTCATGGCCTGACTTTTATTCCAGCCGTTCGCCTTCATGACAGCCTCGAACTGAATTTTGTAGGCCTACCAGGAAGAAGTCCCGTCGAACGGCGGCACTTTGAATCCACGTAGCGAAGGTGTTGTAGCTACCACGGGAACTGTAATTCCATCGCCAAGTTTGAAGTCATCCAGCATTTTCTTCACGTCAGCCATCACGTTGTCAACTCGATTGTACACATGGTCGATTCGGGTTTCATCTTCCGACAGGCAGTTGTCATATTGAACAACCCTATCCTTCACCTCCCTTATCTCTTTCCCGAAGGTAGCGTGAACGTCCTTCATGAGGAGCATCTGCTCTTCCTTATTGCGTTTGAGCTGCTCTTCCAAACAACGGGCCTGTTGCTCCTGTCGGCGAGCTTGCTCCTGCAGTATCATTATCAGAGCTCCTAAGTCAGGTGCTGCAGATGCAGGAGCTGCTGACGGGCCGGCCTCCGTGGTCAGCAGCTGGCCCTCCGATGTTTGCGGCGTTGCATTACCAAATCGTCTCTGGTCCGTCTCCAGCTGGCGTTGGCTTCGGGTACGGATACCCTCCATGTCGTCCTTTGGTAAAATCGGCATGATTTGATCCCACTTCTGACACCAATTGTTACGAGCTTGGGGTTCGAGATAATTAAAAACTGCCGATTGAATTACCAAAATTGACACTTTAATTACAGAACACTAAGAACAATTGAATAGGGTGACAAACGAGCACACAGTTCACCTGATGGTAAGTGATTGCTGTGGCCCATAGACATCTACATCTATACTCATTTTCGAATCAAAATGCAGATGCGTTGTCACCCGTGAGGACTAAGATGGAATGCCTCTTTTCCAGAAAAAAGGCAGTTCTAAGCTACTATTTAACGCTGGTATTCTGTGAGAGCGTGGTCCTTCCCCTGTCGAGCCGACCCATTAGTGCACAACTATACTATTAATATAGCTGCTGCATGGCTCTACCACGTATAAAAACTGCCACATGGCTCTACCACGTGTAAAATCACTTTAGTTCGCAGTTATTTCGCTTTGAAGTATTCTCTTGTATCGCCAATTCAATACTGACTCGGTCGTGGTCCATACCGGCTTTATATAGGGCCTCAGATAGTTTCCAGAACCTTCTACTGTAGCGACCTCTAGAATGTTCGAGTACATATCGGTTCCAAAATTTCTAGAAGGATCTTGACTCTCCTAGTTCTGCTACTCGATACTAGAGGCCGCTAGTGGTAACTAGTGTTGCCATGTACAAGACATTAATAGTGGCGCGCAACAGTACATACAGGGTATTTGTGAAACGCTCCCGAAAACGAAGGCAGACGACAGTACTAACAATACCTTTGATGATGGGTGAGATATAAAATCGATCCCGATGAAAAAAAAAAATCATCTTTTCACTAGTAGATTTATTCATGCTCCATCATGTTAGTACAGCTAAATGAAACGATAATTTCATAAAAAAAATAATGAAAATACTAGAACATAAAACCAGCAGTGGAATTATTGAATTACAATGAGCTGACTAGGGGTCAATGTACGCTTGGACGCCGAACTCTTATAGGTCCCGTCACGTAAAAAGAACGCTGGCCTTACACCTGGGCACAGCGATTTACCAATCAAATTGGTGGTACGAAGGGGGCGCGACGGGGGAACGCTCGCCAGTATCACTGTGCGCGTATGCTATTGGGTCATGCTTCTCGCGCTTTGTTGGCTTCCAAAATACAGTCGCACACACAGCTTACTTTGCATGACTCATGACGATGGTTTTAAAAAGGAAGGAAAAAAAATTATTTAAAACTATTGTTTTATAACTGAACTAGTGAACGAAAATTGTGCACTTAAGTTAAAAGTATTGAGGAAGAATATCGAAAAAATTACCATGTGGTCGACCTGATGACGGAAACATTTATCATTCGCATTGATGATGATGATTCTGATGACGGAAGCTCAAGCGAAGATGAAAGTGATGATGAAGTAGCATCCAGTAACACCAACACACCATCAACGTCTGGCTTCCATGTTCCATGTTCCAACGGTATAATGGAAGGCGTGTCACTCTTAGCTTAAATTTTCTTGATACAAACTACTTTATTATTTTACGATAGAAATAAAAAATAATGCTCAAGTAAACATTGTCCAATTTTAATTCCAACCTCTTCCAAAGCTCTAAGTAGCTAGTAAAGTACCTATTATGATTCTACAATAAAACAATTAATTCCTATTATAATATTATAAAACAATAACCTAGTACCATGTGGTACTTTAGAACGCGACTGTATCCACACTCCCTCCACTGTCGACCTGTATCTAGCTCGGTGCGAAACAATGCCTAGCCCGGCCGGCTCGTGTCGCCTCACGCTGTGGAATTTACACATATCAGCCTTGACAACATGCGGGGAACTCCCAAAATTGCGGGGAATTTAAAGTCGGTTGGGGATTGGTATTATGCGGGGGAAACACGGGGATTTTGAAAATCGATAGCCAGGGCCAAGTCAGAACCTTTTTTCAAGAATTTAATTTTAATACGTGGTAGAGCCATGCTGCAGCTATATTATGGTTGTAGCACGAATGGGTCGGCTCGACCGGGGAAGGACCACGCTCTCACAGAATACCAGCATCAAATAGCAGCTTAACGCTGCTGTGTTTCGTATGGTGAGTGTAGAGAACCGGGGACCCTTTTTACTGGAAACGAGGCATTCGATCTTAGTCCTCACGGGTGACAACGCATCTGCATTTTCATTCGTAATCGAAGATAGGTGTAGATGTCTATGGACCACAGCAACCACTTACCATCAGATGGACTGTGTGCTCGTTTGTCACCCTAATCCTATAAAAAAAAAAGAAATTTAAATACTTATTTGAACATTTTGTTAGGTTACTTATGAATATAGAATGACTCCCTTTTTTTATTCACCAACAGTGAATTATTGTCAGCTGATTTCATTGAAGTTCCACTGCTGGTTTTATGTTTAAGTATTTTTTTTTATAGAATTATCGTTTCATTTAGCTGTACTAACACGACGGAGCGTGAATAAAACTAATAAAACGTTGTGAAAAGATGATTTTTTTTCCTCGGGATCAATTTTATTCCTGCCCATGATCAAAGGCATTGTTAGTTAACTAGCATCTACCTGGATGAGTAAAGTCACCCTCGCCAATCCTGCTACTCCGCGACTTTTTGAACTCCTCTCGTATGTATACTGCTAGCCAGGCACTTCAGTACTACTAATACATTGCGCAACAAGTTGCGGTCAAACCTCCGCAATTGCTTGCAATCCAGCTTGAGTTTCTTTGGCGGCTTTTTTCCTTTTTTATCCATTGCTTGGGAGTTTGGACTCGGGACCATATTGGCGAATCCATGTATCATCTACGGTGGCTATCCGTTGCCAAATGTCTTTCTTGTTATCGCAGACTAGCTCCAAAAAATCTTTGCAAGTTGCGAGTCGACGTTGCTTGTTGAGCAGTGCGAGCATTTTCGGTATCCAGCGCACGCTAATTTTTCTCATATTGAAGTGTTAATGTAAAATTTCTCCAACTCGTTCTTTGCTAATGTGCAGTTCTTCAGCAATCTGCCACAATTTAATTCTTCGGGTGGCCAGTACGATTTTCGACTTTTCGGACGTTTTCTTCGGTCAGTACCAGGTGACAGGGTGGCCCTGGCGAGGGTGGTCTTCACAGCTCTCTCGTCCTCGTTGAAATATGCGGGCCCATTTATTCACCATCATATATGAAGGCGCAGAATCCTGTAGAATCGATGACATCTCTTCAAAAATGTCTTTTGGTGTATTTCCCCTCTTCACAAGGAATTTTATCACGGCACGGTGTTCAAAATTTTGATTCAGCTGACATCATCATCAAGATTCGGCTGACACGGTAATGCTTGTTGTTCAATAAATAATTGAACTATGAGTGCAAATTTAATTAGTGATTACTTTTATAATACTACTGAGTGTTATAACTAATTAACAAGCAAATTACTCATTGTTAAGTACACTAGGCTGCGAATTTTTCAACCGCCCTGGTAGTATAGATATGCCTAAAAACATTAACTAGCGTATTTGCGCCCGCGCGTTCCACAGCTGTGACACGGTTTTCGTTCTGAATTGGCGGTGTTGTGGGTATGGATGAGTGTTGGGTGGCGAGCACACTCACGCGTCCAGCAGCTTGAGCAGTAGGCGCGCGTAGGCGCGGTACTCGTCCTCGGCGAAGGGCGCGGGGTGGTGGCGCGCGCACTCGTAGGCGTCGCACAGCTGGTGCACCAGCTTCTGGCCGCGCCCGTCCAGCGGCGCCGCCAGCGACGCCAGCAGGAACGAGCGCAGAGACTCGCCGGCCCGCCGCCGCAGCCCTGGCTCCTGCCGCCTGATTTCCTCCTCTGCAATTTGGGACACACTCACGTTTTTTTTCTTTATTTTATAGTATAAGAGTGACAAACACACACACACTCAACCTGATGATAAATGAATACTGTGACCCATAGACAACTATGACTATCCTCGGTTAAGTATCAAAATCTGATGCCACCCCCAAGGACTTAGGTGGAAAATGTCTTAGTTCTTAATCAAGGATAGAAGTGTCTATTGGCCACAGGTATTAACACCACTACATAAAAAAGGTTTATGAACCCTAACTTAATTTTTGTTATTATCGTTTGACTTATAAGAAGGCGCAGCTCAATAAAATTTGTGTAATAATGGACAAACAAATAAATAGTACTCCTACAACTAGTCTAAAATGAAATGCACTAATATTAATACTTAGGTTGGTGTAAAAAGGCCCATCGGAAAATGAAAATAGTTAGTAGTATAACTAAGTCAAATAACAGAAAATAATGTGTTTGACTCAGCTGCAAGAAAAGCACTAGCAAACAACAATGCACGCAGATGACAAATAAGTTCATTATTTTGTCAGGTCATCATTGCAGGAAACAATCTTATAAACGAAACAAATATTATAATTATAACAAATCTATGATTATGAAAAGGAGCCATGTGTACTGGTGAATAGTTTATGAACTGACTAATAATTAAAAAAAATATTACCTAAAGTTTTTACATCATCAACTGCTCTGAAGCGGTAGTGGTAGGGCTGCTGTGGTTCCAAGATGTAATGCGACGGTTCAGCGCTCAAAAGACGTGGTTCATAAACTATCCTAGGGATTGCTTCTATTCGCCGTTCAATTTCCTTCTTTAGACTCTGTAAAGGTTATGGCACTTTTATAAGATGGTATAATGTCCTTTATAATATATAGCCAACCCACAGTCTTTCAGGCAGAATGTATGATTATCATCCAAGCGGCCATAGCAATAGATACTAGGAAGGTAAAAGACTTCTCTATCAGAATACTAACCAACAGTATGGCGGTAAATTGCAATTATAATTTTAAGTGCTGATTTACCACATGCTTGGCAGTGAAGGAAAACATCATGAGGAAACCTGCATGCCTGAAAATTAGTTTCTCAGTTATCCTCATAACATGTCTAGATTTACTCTTGCCAAAACACCCGCAAACCATGACATTATCACCACCATGTTTCATAGTAGGCACTGCACATGCTTCTGAAGCCCTCTCTTTTTTGTCTGTTGGACCCGAAAATCTGAAACTTCAATTTGTCCATCTGAAGGATATTTTCCCATTTATTTTTTGTCCAGTTTTTATATACTTTTGACGATTCCATTCTATTTTCTGCCGACTTCCAAAAAGGAGCCGGTACTCAATTCGACTGTATGTTTTTTTTTTTCGTTTTTTTTTTTTTTATGTGTGTTACCTCAGAACTTTTTTCTGGGTGAACCGATTTCGATGATTCTTTTTTTATTTGAAAGCTGGTACTTCTCGTGTGGTCCCATATGAATTTGATCAAGGTCAGACCAATAGTTTTTAAGTTATTTTTAAATAACTTATATTGAAGTCGGCTGTACAACATTTTTAATTTTAAATTATTCTTATGTCCAATTGTTAGCTTTGCTTTTAGCACCAACACATCCTCTTAGTCCCGTAGACAGTAGACATCTTTTAACCATTATTATTGAAATGGGTGTTGCTCCCATATCATTCACAGCTACTGTTATTTGTGGTGCAGTTGAGCATCGATTACATTTAGAAAGAACTCTGATGAAGTTATCCTCTAGAGCTGTTGCAGATTTAGGCCCACCAGATCTTTTTCTACCTTCTTTCTTCTCAGTTTCTTGTTTTCTAGCCAGCGTGTAATAGACACTTTTACAATAAATTCAGAGTCTTTCTGCGATTTGACATTTACTGTATAAAACAGATGTGCTTCCAAACCTTTGGGCGGTACTGTGTATATATATATATATATATATATATATATATATATATATATATATATATATATTCCAAACGAGATATTAAAAGTAAAAAAATTTGTACATTTTATTTATTAAATGAAGATACTCCATAGAAACAAAGTTCACAAAACTAAACTACATCATCACATTATTGGACATTGTTTTTGATATTATTATTATATTGTCATGTAGTAGCAGCATAAGAGAATCTTCTACCTCATTTCATATGTACACGCCCGTCGAGACACCATGAGACAGGCCAAGTACAAGTGTGTATATGGTGCACTCGACGCGTAGTGTCACGTCTCACGGCCCTCGTTCGCTCTCAGAAGTGTCGGTTTTTTGCGCTAGAGTCAAAGGGTCTCGTGAGGCTCGCGATGAAAACGAGAGCACGCCTGTACACACTCGTTCCTTTTCCGATAATTATAAAAATTATCAAAAAATGGTTCAATATTGTTAAATACAATATAGGAACTTACATAGTTCTATTACAGTGAATAGAAACCAGCCACCATGGCTTATTAATTTTCTTTTTATTAGAAATATGTAAAAAATTATAATAAAAAATAGCAGCAAAACAGCAACAGTTTCTTCTACGTCCATCACAGTGGGCATCCGGAGTTCAAGTGATACAACGAGTGTGTACATGGTGTGCTCTCGTGTCGGACCTCTACGCGACGAGAGGCACGCGAAGCGACGAGACGAGCGTGTACAGCCGCCAATACAGTTGGTGTCCTAAGAGGCGACACAGGTAAAATGAATCAGATGGTAGCAGCACTAAATAATAGAAATATGCAGTTGCTAATCCACCTGTCAGGTCAAAAGGCCTGTAGTCAGCAGTGAAATATTGATGAGCTGTAATCTTTGAAGAAGTAATATTATTACTTTAATAATAGTATAGGAAATACAATGAAATCTAACACGACCATCAAATATATATAGTTAAAAATATATCGTTTTACTAACTTTCTTTGCATCGGTGCCAATAGGTACATGAGGTCCTCTTCGAGATCTTAAAGCAAATCTTGTGATTTGCCTCTTCGCGAAAATAAACAAAATTACAAACGTTAAAACACCGCCACTTATTATAAAAATAATATTCCTTATGCTTGTAAAGGCTTGCATGTTTTATTTACTTTTGGAAATATCCTTTTAATTAAAATTATGCGGAATTATTTAAATTATAAATAGTGTGTGTATTAAATAGTGTTTATTATATTCATGATCATTCTCTGTTCTCTGATCAAATCAATCCATAGATAAATATATATGTAGCAAGGATCAATCTAGGGTAGGCTTGGGCAAAAAATATATATCGTCGATATTTTAAATCGCGATACATCGATATTTATTTTAGAGTATCGAACTCGTATCAATTTCGATATATTATTTTAAAATGTATTAATGACAAAACATGTAACAACAAAAGGAGGTACAAAAGTATTCATGTGGTTGGTTGTCGTTTCTTTTTCGTCGTCTAACCGTCAGTAATATAATATTTTGGACCTTATCTTTACATCATGCAAATGATGACGATATATCGATATTTACTAAGCGATATATATTGATACTGTTTAAAAATATCGATTCGATATATGTCGTAATATTTTTTCCCTTCCATCCATCTTCCATCCTCAATCCACATTCCACAGACTAATGATGCTTACGCATGATCACGTAGATAGAGGTAAGTCTATGCTCATTATTGCAAATTTTTTGTGCAGTTGTATTAAAATTTAAATACTTGTATTATTTCTAGAATACCTATCTACAATTTATATATATATATATATATTAAAAAACACAGTTCTGCAACCACTTACCCACATATTTAATCTTAGCTTGTTATGTGGCATTTTTCCTAATTGTTGGAAATTAGCAGTTGTTACTCCAATACACAAAGATAGAGATAAAAACTGTCCTAGCAATTACAGGCCCATATCTTTGCTAAGTATATTTTCCAAGTTACTGGAAAAAATTGTAAGCAAGCGCCTCACCAACTTTATAGAAAATAATAATCTGCTCTCTGTAAATCAATTTGGCTTCAGGAGGGGTAAGTCCACGGAGGATGCGGTAGTCCTACTGACAGATGCTGTATCTAGATATTTGGACAATAAACGCAGCTGTTTAGGTATCTTCCTAGATCTTGCTAGGGCCTTCGACACCGTGTCGGTCCCTATACTACTGCGGAAGCTTGAAACAAAAGGAATTAGAGGAGTGGCGTTGGTTCCGTAGCTATCTCTTAAATCGGCGTCAATGCATAAGAGTGGGCTCACATACAAGTAAGCAATTAAAAATCAGTATTGGAGTTCCTCAAGGAAGTATTCTTGGTCCAATCCTATTCTGCATTTACATTAACGACGTCCTAGAATTACCCATACAAAGAGCTGACGTCATATGCTATGCGGACGACACAGCCATTATATTTAACGATTTAACTTGGGACAGCGTACTCGAGACGGCTCAAAAAGGCATGGTAGTGTTGAATAAATGGTTAAGTTCCAATTTACTAATTCTAAACTATAAAAAAAAACTAAGTTCATAGCCTTTCACAAAACTCTCGCATCAAAACCATTTTCGCCGGTAAACTTAGTAATTCACACTTGCGAATCTGAAGTTCCCTCTTGCGGATGTAATATAATCAGCAACACAGATAACATCAGGTATCTAGGAGTGATCATTGATGATAAGCTATCATTTAAAAACCATCTAAGCCGCTTGTCGGGTAGTGTTAGGAAAACCATTTACATAATGAAAGCTTTGCGACGCTGTGCTACTAAAGAAACAATGAAAATGGTTTACAAAGCACTAACCCAATCCCTACTATACTACTGCACGCTGGCTTGGGGTGGAGCTATCAAAACAAAAATGCTTGAAGTGGAGAGGGCCCAGCGAGCAGTACTAAAAGTAATGCTGTCTAAAAACTTTAGATTTCCAACTGACGAACTGTACAAGGAATGTGAGGTGCTACGGGTTCGCCAAATCTACATTTTAAAGGCAGTTATTCTAACCCACAGAAAAATAATAAATTCCCCGGATTATCTTAGCCTGTGCCAACGTCGGATCTTTCGAGTACCGATTCCCAATCCACACAGTAGCTTTATCAAACGCCACTCACCATTTCTTCTGCCTAGCATTTACAACAAATTCTGCTATCTCTTCCCAGATTTGAGGTCTTTGTCCACAAGTAAAGTCAAACACAAAATAACAACCTGGTTGCTACATGCTTCTTATCAAGAAACGGAAAACCAACTTTCCTTTCATAGTTGACCCTATACATGCACACGCGTAGACTTACACTCACTCACACACACGCACAAGCACGCAACCCCCCCCCCCATGCACACAAACACACAGACACACACACACACGCACACGCACGCACACACGTACGCACGCACGCTAGCACTGTTAGAGTAAATTAGCTGTTTTTTTTTCTTTCTTTCATGCATTAATTTATACAAAAAAAATGTTTTTTTTTTCTCTTTATTTTAATTTAATCGGAGTTCTATGTATTCATTGGTGTAAACGGTGTCAGTCAAGGTTCTTGGTTCCTGCGATACAAGCCTAGAGCTTAGTGCAGAAACCAGGGTATTGCTTAATTATGTAATGTTTTTTGGTTAAATAAATACATTTTCTATTCCATTTCTAATTAATCGAAGTAGGTTATATTAAAAGGATTTTTTAAAAAAAAATTAAATAACAAATATTTTTTAATCATCATTAAGAAAGTGACGAAAATGACACCTCCATGTCGTGTGCAAAATCAGTTTATGATACTACAGGCTAATATAAAATATATATTATATCAATAATAAATTAATTATTTCATATTTTTTTACAATAAAACAAGGATATTTCTTTTTAAAAACACAAAATAAATAAAACACACATGAAATAAATGATTCCAAATATTTCATAACTTTTGTGCATGGAAAAATTATCACCTCCATGGATAAACTGACTGAACGCAGCCACAATTCAATAAATGAGTAAATATAGTGCCACCAACTTATCTGTTCAGTTGACAGCGTCGCTAGTGGAGTGCTTACTATTGCCATTTAACAAATTTACCGAGGAAATATGTAACTACATATTCATTACACATAATATAAAATAAAACAAATTTCGTGTTAATATATTAAAATTAATGAGAATTAGTGTTATTATATATATTATTTATATTTTATAAAAATAATTGTGGTCGTAATCTCCGAGTTCAAGCGGCCGAATTCTAGGAATTTCTGTTTTGAAAAATGTACCCGCGTTAGCTACTGGTTCCAATAATTCATCTCCTGAGTCACTGGAATCGCTTTCACTATCGCTCTGACGCTCTATAATAAAGGGTTCATTTAAATACACGTCTTTTAGTCTTTCTTCATTTTCAATTTTTTTTACATGATTACAAATGTTTTTCCACTGAACCGGTGTAATTTCATGAAATGAATCTTCAATTAATTGGGGCATTAGTACATTCGCAACACAAACTACAAAGTTAGGTACTTTAGATGAATTGCAGTAAATTGAGATAATTTTTTTACTTTTTCACAAGTACATTATTTGGTGATTTTAATTTTCCATATCTGGCAATACTAACCTGTCACGGCAGCAACGCTTTCATACAGGTTTTCAAATGGTATAGTTGGGACTTGTACACGTTTCTCTTCTTTCATAAAAGATAAAACTTTTAGGATAATCTATTGCGCATCACTTTTAAGATTTAGTTACACTTTTTAAAAACACTCACCTGATAGCTCAGAATAAATAATAGCTGACAGCGAAATGTCATTTACAAAATGGCGGTTTTAGTTCCAATTTTGTCCACCTGAACAGATAAGTTGGTGGCACTATACAGTTTCTGAACGAATACAGACAACAAATATAAAGCCATCATGAAATTTTTTGACAGTTTGTGCATGCTGGGATAATAATTTTGGAGTAAAGACTTATAAAGTAAGATTTTTTTAAACTAGCATGCTATTTCAGTCAATTTTGTGGATTACTTATCACAAGGTATTAATTTAATTAAGGTCTATTGGGTATCGTAAAAACATAACTCCGCCGTTGCCGGTCCCAAGCCCGGATGAGAAAGGAGGAGGGGACGAATCCGCCGGAGAGAGTGGGTGTATCCGGTGGACTAACACACCCACCTGCGCTAGGACCTGCGCAGTCGAGCGCCGTACGCGGGGATGAAGGAGTCCTGGAGGGTTGGGCCGATCGTCGCTGGGGTATATAGTGGAGAGAGGCAACACGCCCTCTTTGGTCCGGATTTCAAGCTAAACGGTGGCCCTATCTGCTAGCCACAGATAGGGAAATGGCCAAGCGCCCCGTCAGAGGGTCGCAGGCGAGGGATGTGGGGGCTGCCTAGTCTTCCTGAAAAGGGGGCTGGGTGGTGGTAAAGGCCATGCTGACGGAGCAAGTGACAGTTTATTCGGGTGGTGGGGATGGGCCTTGTCAGCCCCATCTACCAGCTGGATCGAGCTCCCGATGTCGCGCTGTGAGCCAACTTCGCGTCCCTATATTCTCCCGGTAATCCTAACGCCTGAAATTCCTAAAGTAGGGCGTTCCCAAAGGTGCGGGCTCCATGGAGGGTGGGAAGCCGGGGGGATGAATTTAAAAAAAAAAAAAACACAAATTATGGACAATTTAAGGCCCAATAAGAAGGAGGGAGAGGTGTCAGAGGTGCTTACCAGAGACACCAAAGAACAAAAGGGAACCGTCACTAAACCGACGGTTCCACGGACAGTACCGTCCAGCGTAGGTGCCCCCACCAAAGGGATAACCTCGCTGAACGTTTCCAAAACCAGTTCCAAGGAGCTGGAAGAGAAAGAGAAAAAGAAACAAGAGCCCGCAAGTGATAAAACTGCGGAGCCACTACGGACTGACGACCTTTTCTCTGCTGCCTGGCAAGTGGTGAGCCGTAAGGGGAAAGGCAAGGCACCCAAAAAGGTGACTTGCCGACCTGACGGACCATCAGGAGGGTCTATCCCTGCAGGCAGTAGTGGAAAGGCCAAAAAGAAGAACAAGAAGCAGCGGGAAAAAGGCCGTAGAGAACGAGCCGCTTTGGCTGCTTCAGATACCAAAACCAAGGAGGCTGGGCAAGCTACTGCGACTGAGGTGCTTGGCGCTGGAACCAGTAGCCGCGCTGAAGCTGGGAAGGATAAAAATCCAGCCCAAGTGGAAGTCGCGGACGCGGGAACCAGCTCTAGGATATCCGCCAGGAAGCAGCTGGGAAGAAGGAAAGAGCAGCCAAAAGGATGCTGGAAGAGTCCACCTCGCCTAGAGGTGAACACAAAAAAGTGAGACTCGAACAGCAACCAAAGACTGCAAGAACGAGCTACGCTTCCGCTGCTAAAGCAGATTTGGGTGTGGCCTTAACATGTGCGCGTTCAGGTCACATTACGAAGGAAGTAGCAGACGACATCCTCGTAGCAATACAGAGGAAGATGATCAGCGAGGCCTGGAGTAGCCAGGACCCTGATGCGTCGGGCCCAGTTTTTAGGGGCAAACCCGTTTATACGGAAGGTGTCCTGAAACTGTGGTGCGACGATCAGAAGGCTCTGGACTGGTTGAAGGGGAACATTGCTACCCTCGACCTTAAATCCAGCACCTTGCTGACAATAAAGAAACAGTCAGAGATACCACAAAGAGTCAAATGTGGTATCCTTATCCCTGATGCCCAGGGGGCCTGGAAAGACTCACGCGACATTGGTCGCGTGTTGGCGTACCAGAACCGCTGGGTTAACATCAGGGACTGGCTGTTACTCAAGGCAGATAAGCAGACGGACGGGTGGTTCCTCGTTGTTTCGGTGCCGGAGGATCATATCCCGACCCTGATGAAGGCCGGACGCCGTCTCGCATGTGTATGCGGGGCGGTATACGTAAAATTCCAGGGTCGTGGAGGCAAATTCTTTGATACTCCACCGAGCAAAGAGGTAGAAAACAACCCGGAAGTTATGGATACCGAAGCCATAGTTACCGGTACAGCGGAATCACTGGAGGCCAAGTCCAGTGAAGAAACGGCCTGCACAATTGAGCCGAAGCCCCCAGTGGAGATTGGGCTCAGCGGCAGCTCACTGAGTGACGAGGAGGACTGCATTTTGCCGACCACCTCCGACTCGGTGGCTGACGATGAGACCCGAGATCTGCTGGCAGGCCTATTTTTGGGCGGGGACGGGGAGGACGCGATCAATGATGGCGTGCCCTTCGTCCAAAACTAGCCTAGTGCAGGCCAACCTCCACCACAGCGAAACTGCGTCGGCTCAATTACGCAAGTGGTTGGAGGTTCAAAGGACTGCCATAGCCTTAATCCAGGAGCCATGGGTTGGGGCTGGTAAAATTAAAGGCCTAAACAACCTAAAAGGTAAGTTATTCTACAGCTCTGAACACGACAAGCCTAGAGCGTGTATTTACACTACTAAAGATATCTGTGCACAACCTTTAACAGATTTCTGTTCTAGAGACATGTATGCCGTAGCAATACAGTACACACAGGAGAGTAGATTAGTCGTCGCCTCGGTCTACATGCCGGAGGAAGACACTCCTCCACCTCATGACCTCAGCAGGCTGGTGAACTTCTGCGAGAGGACCGGACTAGAGGTTGTGATCGGGACGGACTCCAACGCACATCATCCCCTTTGGGGAATGGAAAAACCAAATGAACGAGGTAAAGTTTTAGTTGAATATTTATTTAGTACTAACCTAACCATTTTAAACATAGGTTCTGAACCTACTTTCATAAACAAACGCTGTCGCACTATAATCGACCTCACACTTGCAACAGAAGGAGCAGCCAAACTAATTACGGGATGGCATGTGTCGAGAGAGGCCTCATGCTCAGACCATAGATGGATCTGCTTCGCACTACAGGTCGATATCCCCTCTACACCACCATGGAGAAATCCCCGCAAGACAGATAAAACTAAATACCTAAATAGGCTGACGTCTTTGCTAGCGGATTTTGAGGGGATAAATACTATAGCAGATCAGTCGCTCCTAGAAGAACAGGTAGCAGCTGTTACTAAGGCCATGATAGACAGCTACCATGAATCATGTCCAGAAATCACTCCACCAAGACATGCCGAGGTAAAACAACCGTGGTGGGGTAAAGAACTCGATAGAAAACGTAAGAAGGTAAGAAAAGCTCTAAATAGGGCCATGAATACCTCAATGGATGAAGACTGGCTATTATATAAGAAAGCTAAGTCTGAATACAAAAAATGTATCAGGTATCGACGCTCGATTGGGTGGCGTAAATTCTGTGGCAACATAGAAACCTGCAAACAAGCAAATAGGATTAGGAATATTCTAGCTAAACAGAACACGTCGGGATCCATGTCTCTAAAGAAACCCGACGGTAGCTACTCAACATCGCCGGATGAAGCCCAACGCATCCTAATTGAAACGCACTTCCCAGGTTGCTGCGTAACCCAGGAGGCAAACCGGCATGACGACATACTGACATCAACAGCAGAAGACTGGAATTTAGCACAGAGAGTGGTAACGATGGACAAAATCCATTGGGCCATTCACAGTTTCCTCCCCTATAAGGCGGCAGGACCCGACGGCATATTCCCGGCACTCCTACAGTGGGGGGGTAAAGCCCTAATAGTCAGACTTGCTGCCATAATGCGAGCCTGTCTTGCTCTTAAATATGTTCCTAGGGGATGGAGGGAAGTGAAAGTTACATTCATACCCAAACCAGGTAAGAGCGACTACACTGACCCTAAATCCTACAGGCCCATTAGCCTCACATCCTTTCTCCTAAAGACGATGGAGAGGATGTGTGAAAGGGAATTAAGGGGGTCGGCGCTAATGAACTTACCACTACACGACAAGCAACACGCCTACAGTCAAGGCAAATCAACAGAATCGGCCCTTCATAAGGTAATTACAAAGATTGAAGAGGCCATCCAAAACAAAGAAATATGTCTAGGTTCCTTCATAGATATAGAAGGTGCTTTTGACCGAACGAACTTCTCCAGCATAAAAGGTGCACTCGGTAGACACAAAGTTGAACCGGCACTGATCGACTGGATAGTTTACATGCTCAGTACACGAATAATAAAGATTGCTGGTGAATCTCAACCAATCCAAATTAAGAAAGGCTGCCCGCAGGGTGGGGTTCTCTCACCTCTCCTGTGGAATATGGTCATTAATGAACTCATCAGCAAATTAAATGACAATCACTTCTATACAGTAGGTTATGCTGATGACCTGACAATACTGGTCTCTGGAAAGACAGCAAGCATAGTGTGCGACCTGACCCAAGCGGCTCTCCGTATAGTGGAGAGATGGTGCAGGGAACACGACTTAACTGTCAATCCAAATAAAACGGTTTTAGTTATGTTCACACAAAAACGAAAGCTGAATAACTATCATCCTCCAAGTCTTTTTAGCACAAAACTCCAGCTATCCTCTGAGGTAAAATATTTAGGTCTTACCTTGGACAGCAAACTTAACTGGAATAAACACATAGAAAACAAAATCAACAAAGCTAGTATAACTTTCTGGCAATGCAGAAACATGATTGGCAAAAGATGGGGATTGACGCCAAAAATCATACTGTGGCTTTACAAAACTGTAATTCGGCCCATGATCACATACGGCGCTCTGGTATGGTGGACCAAGACAAATGAAGCCACCATAATTAAAAAGCTTCAGCGCTACCAGAGACTGGCATGTATGGCTGCTACAGGCTGCATGAGAACTACGCCAACAGCAGCCTTAGAAGCGATGCTGGAGCTAACTCCGCTTCATCTACATATACAACAAGAAGCGACTTTAGCTGCCATCAGACTCAAGACCCTAAATCTTTGGAGTAAGAATAGTGTCCCTCATACAGGCATAATTGATAGAATTCACTCAAAAATTCCTATCCTACAAGCCAAATACGATAGGATTCCTAAACAATTTGTTTTCGATAAGAAATACAAGATACAGTTAAATGAAAACAGCCAGCCGGAAGGATTAAGCCCAAAAGAGCTTAGAATTTTCACCGATGGTTCTAAAACAAATGAAGGTGTAGGTTGTGGAGCTTTCTCTGAAGACCTCAATATTCACATATGCACACCGCTGGGTACCTATAACACGGTCTTTCAGGCGGAATGTATGGGTATCATTCAAGCGGCCATAGCAATAGATGCTAGGAAGGTTAATGACTTCCCCATCAGAATACTGACCGACAGTAGGGCGGTACTCCAAGCCCTGAGATGCAATGTGGTGAACTCGGGACTAATATATGAATGCCATCAACGATTAAATGAGGTATGTAAAAACAACAATGTGACCCTGCAATGGATAAAGGGACACAGTGGATCCAGAGGCAACGATGCAGCAGACGAACTTGCCAGAAGAGGATCGGCTTTGGCCACTATAGGGCCGGAACCGATCATACCAATCCCCTTTGGTAACGTTTGTTCACTGGTACGTAGACACTTTACTAATCAACACGCTCAGCTTTGGAAAAATCTAGTAGACTGTAGACAAGCTAGGGATGCCCTGCCTGAAATTAACAGTCGCTTAACAAAAGTTTTAATGAGACTGAACAAGCCGCAGATTAGGATAGTAACAAGTGCTATCACAGGACACGGCACCTTTAACAAACATTTATTTACTATAGGTGTTACAGATAGTCCCCTGTGCAGGGCATGTATGGGGGAGGAAGAAACGGCGGCCCACGTGCTACTGAAATGTCCGGAGGTCGCTACATACAGGGCTAAACATCTCGGCACGCCGGGATCACTCCCCGAAGTTGCATGCAACATCAAGGGCCTGTTGAGCTTCTTCGGAGAGATCTCATGGCTCGAATAATCACATTATTCCTGCCCACACGCAAAATACGCGCATAGACGTGGAGATGCGGAAAACAGCCCGTCGTAAACTAAACTAAACTAATCGTAAAAACATGGGCCGCTATAGCCGTTATCTTGGTATTTTGTAATTTTTAGTAATCAGCATTTGAGATTACGAAAAAATGGTATCTAAGTTTAAAATCTCACTTCATTAGTTATCCAAGGAGGTGACTGTCCATGGATGTGACAGTACTGTGATCGCTTTATTTAATTAAAAATTAAAAATTATCAATGTGATTTATTATAATATGTAAATATTTCTTGATCCAGGGTAATTATAGGTCTAAAATAATGATTTCTTATATTTACGCGAACACTACACATTGAATAAAACTATTTTTACGGATTTTATCGCGTTTAATTAACTTGTTTTATGTTCCCGACGTTTCGGTTGCTTTCCAGCAACCGTGGTCACGGGGGACCACGGTTGCTGGAAAGCAACCGAAACGTCGGGAACATAAAACAAGTTAATTAAACGCGATAAAATCCGTAAAAATAGTTTTATTCAATATAGGTCTAAAAATCAGGAACAGAACAATCGCAAGACAAAAGAATGCAAGAAGCGACGTCGGAAAAAATAAAGTCCAATCCACAGTTGTACGAATAGGCTAAAGCTACAGAAAGAGAACGTTATAGAAATCTAAAATAAAATTGTATCTATTGATCAAATATCAGAAATAGATATAATATACAAAAAAGCGTGGCGTAAGAGGTAAAAAATTGTAAAATAAATGGAAAATGCAGGGAAAGATTTTTATCGAGTTTGCGGGATGATCGCCTTAAAGTGACATTGAAAATGATCCAGTTTCAGTCAGGCATTCTCCTAATGTTTCAAGCATACATTCTCTTCCGGTCTTAAGTAGATGATCTCGTTCTGTTTGAAGCCTTATTTTGTCATCTTACAGAGACCTATCTCCATCAGTGTTAGAAAATTACTCGCCTAAAATACTTGATTCATCAAGTAGTTGTAGTAAGCACTACATCATACCAAAACAAAACTGGACTTAATACTTTTAAGACGACTTAGCTGTGCAAAATGTGATAGAAATTGATCTCATAATGGAATAGGGGAGGCATATACACGAAGTGCCATCGTTGAAGAATCTCTTTCTGGCTCAAGTCATAACATTCCACATAGAGTGCCAGAAAATACTGTGATAGTAACTGAAGAATCTCTTCCTATCCCTAGTCATGATATCCCACAAAAACTGCCAGAAAATACTATGATAGTAACTTAAGAACCTAACACATTTGACAGAACTCAAATAACAGCTGTAACTTCTTTTCGGGAATTGATCGAAGGCAACTGATTAAATTGGTCTGCAAAAAGAGTGCAATGTTTTACATGGGTTAAATTGTCACTGTACTGGATGTACACGCCCTTAGTTGCCCCAACAAAGGTCGACTGGACCAGAGCCCATGAGTGGTCCCCTCGAAGAGCAACCAAGGGTGGAGCCCAAATGGCCTCTGGACAACGGTTCCAAAAACGGATGACAAATACGCAAGCACCACTTACCGATTTCCGGAGGTAGGGTTGACCACGGGGTACCTGTCAGGTGATAAGTGATGTGCATGTAAGTAGTGTGTAGTGGTGTGTACAATGTATAACCTGACATCCCCGCGGAAGACGGACTGCAGATGCACAGGCACTGCTTCTTTCCAAATGTGAGATCCATCCAGGGGGGCGTTCACCGATTGAAAACCTCTGCTTCTATTTTCACTATATTAGTTTATCAACTTTATTGTACATTTAATTAACTTCAAAGTCAACCAAATCAAAGTTCATCCAAATTAAACCAAGTGACACACGACACAAGTAAAGAACAGTCGGTCAAAGTTCAATGTTCAATGTTCCGGGTTCACTTAGCACAAAATTACAAACACGGGAACGAACGCAGTCTCTTCTCGAGTCATAAGGTTCAGCGTTTTCCCGTCAAAGACAAATTCTTCATACGATATTTGTTTGGCCACAGTGTAAAGATGTTTCGGATTGTAGTTATTACTGTTACTTTATCACAATCACATTGCGGTCGAAAAAATGTTATAAAACATTATTACGTTCATTCCCTCATCTTCACTAAGATTATTCTAATGAATAAGATTCTTTGCTTGGTTTTATTATTTTTTTTTAAAAATGATTGAGTTGTTACTACCTTTTATTATTTTATTATGGTTTCTCATTTATAATAATTTAAATAATCTCAGGTACTTTATTTTGTAAGATATACGCGATAAAATCCGTAAAACTAGTTTTATTTAAATTCGTAATAGTATATGCATGTATATGCTAACTAAATAATGTTGATTAATAGTAATTTAATTACTATTGAAAGGTTGCTTGTGTGACCAGATAGAACCGAATAAAAGTTTTGTTAACCAACTTGTGTCCCTATAAAACTTATTGACGGCTCCATGGCGCAGTGGCTTAGCAATGGGTTGCTGCGCTGGGGGACCGCGGGTTCGAATCCCGCACGGAACAAGTATTTGTATGGCCTACAAATAATTGTTCCGGGTCTGGATGTTTGTACTTGTGCAATTTGTGTTTGTAAACTGCCTCCACGGTACAGGAGAAAATCCTAGTGTGGGGTAACGTTTTTTTAAGAAATAAAAATAATATACATTAAGCGTAAATACGTACTTAATTACTTAAAATTAATAAATACCAAACTGATTAGATATATACAAATAATAATTAAAAAATATCGTTTTATTCGTTCATAAATCATTAATAATTTATTAAAATTATACAAATAAGTCACTACCGTGGAGTTGTGTCACTACCGTGGAGAGGTGTTTTCATTTTTCATGTTTTTTGTGAAAACTACACTGAAAATAGCTAGGCTTTTATGTGTTCCATTTTGCAAGATAAGATACCTTTCATTTGAGACTACTTTGAATCATATCAAAATAAAAAAAAAAGTTTTAGAATTTTAGGTCCGTTCAATCAAATCCAAAGATAAATAAAACACAGACTTACTAGTAGGCTAGTAATGGCTAGTAACTATAAGATTCTACCGAATGATGATCTATGAAATAAATATTAGGTCCTTACATATGAAATTAGCGTTTTGTCGTACTGACAGTACTTATATAATAAAATAAATAAAATCTTAAGCATATATCCATTGCATAGCATAGAAGTTAAAAAGAAAACAATAGAATGGTTGAAAACTTTAAATTACAACGAAACCGAAACACTTTTAGACAAAATTACTTAACTTGTTACACATAATTAATAATTTACTAAATATACCATACCTCAACATGCACACACCACATACACATACACTACACAATCACACAACTAACACCAACAGATATTTTATTGTAAAAATACTACATAATTTTAACTGTAAGTCAAAAATCTATGTGTTACCCAAGTTCTAAACACTAATTTATATAAATGAAAGACGGGAAGAGCGGAGCCTCCTAACACAAGTTTCTTAACTTAAAAGGAGTGTTCCAATAATGTATTTAATTTTAAGTATTACTGGTTTGAGAATAAAGATTTTTTGATTTTTTTTTTTGAATAATTTGTCGTATTTTTAATACCTACATAATTTTGTCGTACTGACAATACGCTTTGATCTGAAATATCTACTCTTTGGTTAAGAATTACAAATTCAAATTTATAAATTCATTTAGCTGGTACATATGAGTTTTGAAAACAGTCATTCATTTGTTTTTTCTTTGGCGTCCCTTATTATCGCACAATGGAAAACATGAAATCTCGGTATATTTACGAGTTCTACCGTGGCACCAGTGCTGCAGAAACAGCTCGAAGGATTAATGATGTGTACGGCGCTGGTGTCGCAAAAGAAAGCACGGTACATTTTGGTTTCAACGTTTTCGTTCTGGAAATTCCGACCTTCAGAACCAACCCCGTGGACGGCCGGAGACCAAAGTGAAAAACAAAGAATTAAAGGCTATTGTGGAAGCCGATCCATCACAGAGCACATCAGAGATAGCTGCAGGCTTCGGGGTAAGTGATAAAACTGTATTAATCCAAAAGTAAAAAAAAACTTGAACGATGGGTACCTCATGAATTGAGTGAATCGAACTTGCAAACACGCGTCGACTGCTGTGTTACTTTGCTCAACCGGCACAATAATGAAAGGATTTTAAATCGAATCATTATTTGTGACGAAAAGTGGATAATGTACGATAATCGGAAGCGCTCGTTGCAATGGTTGAACCCTGGAGACCCAGCCAAATTCTGCTCTAAACGAAAATTGACTCAGAAAAAGTTACTTGTGAGTGTTTGGTGGACTAGCGCCGGTGTCGTTCACTACAACTCTCTAAAATCTGACCAAACGATTACGGCAGATATCTATTGTCAGCAACTGCGAACCATAAACGAAGAAGTAGCTGCCAAAAAACCGATATTGGTCAATCGCTCTAGGCCACTGCTGCTTTACGACAATGCAAGACCACACACTACACAACAAACAACCATTAAGTAAGATGAGCTATAATTGAAATGTCTGCGACATCCACCGTACTCCCGGACCTTGCTCCAACAGATTACCATTTTTCCGGAATTTGGACATCTTTTTACAAGGAAAAAAAAATCAACTCCGATGCGGCAGTCCAAACCACCTTCAAAGAGTTTATTGATTCTCGCCCCCATGGTTTTTTTAGTAAAGGTATCAATGAACTATCTATGAGATGGCAAAAGTGCATAGATAACAACGGTGCATACTTTGATTAATTAAATATATTTCACAAAAAAAAATTGTACCTCCCGTACAAAATGTCAATTTCATATGTAAGGACCAAATATGTAGCAAATTATGTTAGTAAAACAGAATAAAACTACACTGTGACATTAATTTATATATTTTCCGGTCCAGTTTGTGACATCTGTTATACACGTACGTGTGTATACCCAGTGCCTCATGACTTGATAGCCTGGCTTATCACTAAAGACCTTCAGAATAGTGTTGGAGCTCACTCACA